TCCTCTTCGGCTTCTTTACAGCAGAGGAAACTGAGGCCAGAGAGGCAAGTTTTCCGCCCAAGGCCACATAGAGCAAACTCTCTGGTCTGAGTTAAAGACTTGGAGTCCAGGCTCAGACAGAGGCTAACAGGGCTGCCCGGGCTTGTGTATGTGTGAGCGCCTTGGGATGTAAGAGAGCAGAGCCCAGGGCAGCCGGTGGGCAGCAGCAGGGATGGAGGTGTTAGAGTGGCCCAGGTGGACTCTCAGGGAGGGGTGGTGGCTGCTGAGTGCTAACAGGCAGCCCCTGCTCTGCTCTCTGTGACAGGCAGCGGAAGCTGAGTGAGGTGACAGAGCAGGGAAGTGCAGTGAAGGAAGGAGCCTGGCAAGGGTGGCAAGCTGCATTTGTCCCTTCACAGCCAGGCACTTGGAAGAGCTCATCTGTGCTATGGGGAACAGGAGGAAGAAGAGACCATGGCCACTTGCCCTCCGGGATGTCCCGAGCAGCCTGCCAGAGAGGCCCCCAGTCGCGGTTTGCAGAGCAACCTGTTGTGTTGGTGATGGGGTTACACACCTCATAGTTGTCAGGACAACATGCCTGACACACAGCTGAGAGGACAGAAGGTTTGTGCCAGCTTTCAATCTCAGATGCTTCAGTCTGTGGTAGGCTGGCCCCAAAGCAGAAACAACATGGTGGAAAGGCCATGGTGAAGGAAGGGTGTAGAAAGGTAGAGAGGGAGAGAGTGGGAGAGAAGGGGAGAGAGAGAGAGAGAGAGAGAGAGAGAGAGAGAGAGAGGGAGAGAAAAGGACAGAGGACAAGATATACTTTTCGAGTCACGCCCTCAGTGACCCACTTCCTCCAGCTGGGTTCCACCTCCCCACAGCCGTTCAGCTAATGAACTCATTAATGGATGAATCCACTTGGTGAAGTTAGAGCTCTCCTGAGCTAATCATTTTCCAAAAAGCCGGTCAGCCTCGACACAATGAGCCTTTTGGGGAACATTCTGGATCACAACCACAACAGTGGCATTCTTTCTCTTTCAGTAGGGTTGCTATTTTGAGGCTATGGTCATTTTAATAGTAGATGTCTTAAGGGAAGCTTTATAATCACAGTCATTCTATGACTGCTACCAGGGATGGAGTTTGTTAGACACAGTGAAATCTCAGCGAGAGTTCATGGGAAAGAGTTTACAGATCTACCAAGCTATTAATTATTTACATATATGTACTGTGTAACTCACAACTGATAGGACCATCAATTCATTGATTTTTAAAGAAATTTAGACTAGCAAAACTTGTGTTACTCCAAGCCAATGTATGTGAGTCTATGGAATCATTTTGCATTCTGACTTTATTACTTTTATGCCTGGCAGTACTTTGGTTTTCAATCCTTTCACTTCTACCATTTTTTGATATAGCATTTGGTGCACATTGATTTGTAAAATATATTAAATCTTTTCAGAAACAGGAGGCTCTTTTTAATTACTCACTCTTTTTCTTTCATTTTTTAAAACAGCAAACAGCACAGTGTAAAATGTGGAGCATGAAAAACTCAGGTGAGATGTTTCCGTGGTTTCATGTTTCAGCAGATCTCCAGAATCTGTTCTTGAGAGATCAACCAGGTAACTGAAACCTGAGCCTCATGGTTGGGAACAGTAACAAAGTCAGCACCGTGACAAGGTGCCGAGGCCCATCGCGGCCCTGGCATGGAGAGGGGTGACAGATACAATCGGTCTTCTACCAACTTCCCCTTGTTCTTTCTCTCTCAGTTTAAAGAAGCCAGGTTACTTGGAGAAAGTGCATTCTTCTCACACTCCATGGGTGAGAAGGCAAGGTGACCTCCACCTTTTCACTTAGGCAGAGACTGGTTTCTTGGGGATTTAGGAAGTGGTGGGTCATCTGGATGCCTTCCTGGAGGGGTATTCCTCCCTGATGCAAGGGACTCTGAGGAGACAGGCCCGTCCCAGGAAGCCCCCTCCCGTGGCACCAGTGGCCTCCTGCCTTGACATGCCTGCCCTTCTGAGGCCCTCCAGAGATGCTCACCAGAGAATTCGAGCCCCAAGCCCTCCAACTAAAGATAAGCACTCAAGGGAAGAGAGGTGAGCAGCCTGTTCTGCTTCTCCTGGGCAGGTGCTGTGACCTGGACCTGCACACACCTGCTGTGCTGCGTGTGCGTTCTCAGTATAAAACCCAGCCACACCTCAGGACTCAGCTCGGGAGTTTCTGGAGGATTTGCCCCATGCTGGTCACCTTGGTCGGAACACTGAAGCAACGATGTCAGCTCTTAGGCTGAAGTCCCCTCCCTGCCTTGTTACTGTACTAGAGAAGAAACACTTTTCTTAGTAGCTTAAAATCAAAATGCATTCTTACAAAGATTATGGCATATAAAGTCATAGGCAGGAATGACAGCAGGAGGAAACCCTCGGTGATAGGGTTATGGCTGCATTTAACTTTCTTTTTGCCTTCCTCCATGTTCAATTTCTTGACTGCTCAGCAAAATTTTGCTTCCGTGATCAGAAAATAAGATAAATATCATTTCCGAACTAAAACGATGGTTCCCACATTATCATTTCAGCACCGATCAAGAGCCAAAAGCCAGGTGGCATCTGCCTGCCAATCTTAAATGAGAGGGCGCTTTCCCAGCTTCTGGTTAAGATAGGAGTGCACAATAGGATGAGGGTGACAGGTGTGTATTTACCCACCACACTCTCAGCTACAGCCACTGCTTTAAAACTCTACCTCTCGCTCTTCTTCTTCCTGTTTTGTTTGGCTGCTGTATCTGTGGTTGTCTGCCTGCCTTCATCAGTGCCCTAGCATTACCAGGCAGTGCACCATTCATGCAGTTCCTAATCGAAGGCCAGTAATTTGCCCCAAAAGAAAATATAGTTTATTTCAACATCATTTGATAAAAAGCCATGTCCACTAAATACCTATCGAGTTGTTTCATATGAAAAGCTTACCTTGTTGCCAATTCTATTAGTTTTTTCCCATTTGCTCACATTCAGTCTTCTAAAATATACAGACTAGGAGACAGTATGATTCTAATGCACTGGATTGATGGTGGGATCACAATGGGGCTTTAATGACCAGTCGGAGGCTCATTAAGCACCATTGTCTGAAGGATTTCCTTCTGACTGTAATTGTAGAACCAGATTATATGGCTCAAATAAGACCTAAGGGCCCTTCAGACTTACTGCCCTTTGAGCTGCAATTTCCAGAAAGCAATCGCTTTCAGAACATTGTGCATCATGTATTTAGAAATGGTCGCTTCATAACATCTTTAGGGTGAAAGTAGACTCCTCCAATGAATATACAGGCAGTCGATAAAATTTCACATCATTAACTTCCTGTAAAGTTACTTTGATGTTTTTAATGTTCTAATATTCAATAACAAAGAGAGGACCTGGCAGGCACAGAGGAGTCTTTGAATTAAACCGGTACCTAAGCCTTACAGTGCTACCAATTTTGGTGCCGATAGTTGGAGAGCTTCTCAGTGGATTTTTGCTCAAGTTGAGTATTTAACCGATCCGATTAACCACAGGATCCACTGTGATGTCACTTCACTGCGTAATGAAAACAACTAGTTGTGTCATACAATGTGTGCCAGACCTTCAACCCACAAGGAAACTAGGGACAAACATCATGGAATTTATGAATAAATTTCAAGATCAAAGGCAGTTCTCCATTATGAGATTGGTTCTTTTTTTAATACTTTTTATTTTTTTTAAATTCCTATTTGGAAATACTTTTAAGCAAATAAAAGTCTTCATCTCATTTTAAATGCCTAGTATATTGATCAACGTTCTCTTTGGTGGGTCAAAGTACTCAGTACTCATAGCTTTGAGGAGGAGGGCTTTGACTCACAATTTCTGGGTTTCAGTCCATGATTCGTTGGCTCCAGACAGAAACTTCACGGTGAAGGATGAAGCAGAGCACATCTGCTCCCTTCTTGGCAGCCGGGAGACAGAGCACAGGAGGAGAGGTCCTGAGAGGAGCTGACCAGAGACTCACAGTCCAGAAGGTCCCCACACCGTCCAGCTACAGGACCCTCCCATCCACACCCAGAAGTGTGTTCTACCAACCTGGGTGTCTCTCCAGCCAAGCAAGCTGATGGTTAAGCTAAACTGTACTACTCAGTAAGAAATGGAGTAACTGTTGTTATATTCGTTAATTAAAGGACAATACACCTAAAACATTTATCTATAAACCAGTTCAGTTCTCTTAGCTAAAAGAGGTTTTGAATGCATTTATTTAATTTTATGTATTTCCTCATACTATGTCACATTAATATTTGTTGACAGTTTCTCCCATTTCAGTTGTTTATAATAACTTTGCAGGGCATGAAAACCAATTTTAACCATAGCTCCGGTTCATTTTCAATGGCACCAACAGCCACAGGCGAAGCACATTCCCATCTAATGTTAACAACTGATTAAAAAATAAAATAGTCCTGGAACAATTCATTGGGCTTCAGAGTCCTGTTGTATCCTATTTGAAAAGGTTTCTTTCAATTAGCCTAAAACATGGAAAAGTTCATGTTCAGTTTACTGTGTAACTCTGTGGAAGAAACACAAATTAAGAGCAAGTATGAGAAATTTGGAAATAAAATAGAACTGTCAAGAAATGAAAAGTGTGAAAATCAACCTACTTTCTGGGCTATCAGCATCCTTCCAACAGCATAGCTACCAGGCAGTCGCAGACCCAGCGGTCGGTATTAAATTATCCCACAGTTGTGCCACAGTACTTTATATTCTGCAGATAGAAACAACCTTGTAAAACAAGACAATTAAAATATTATAGCAGAACTCACTGGTCTTTAATACCTCTGTGTTCAGAAGGATGTGTTTTAAAGTTCTGTCATAATGCAATCTGCTCAAAACTGTTAAAGTATGGATAATTTCACTCAATTTTCCAGTAGGTTTCTGCTTTGAATAAGTAAATAGTGGGTAATGGTTTGTGTCAAAGTCCTCGAAACACTCCATTAAACAGAGAGCATGACAGTCTGATCAGATGTTTCTTCCATAGTCAGAAGCTGGCCTGCGACTTTGTGAGTTGCTCAGTTAGATCAGGACCACATCAGCAATCTCATCTTCTGGGTGTTCCTGGTGGTTTCCCATCAGATACATTTGGGATCACGGCATGGTGACCTCACTCTCTGGCCTGCACTTGATGCAGTCCAAGCACTGCTATTGCAACAATACTAAGCTATTTTTTAAGCTGCTGAGAGGACAAGCAAATAAAACAAATTTTTTACAGTATTGTCCATCAATGTCTAATCCAAATAAATCATGATTATGCCCAGACCTATAATCAAGTCATGCAAAAATTTGAACCAGTTGTTCAACCCATTGAGATAAATTAATTCAATGTTTGACTGAATATTTGCCTATATACACTTATCCCAAATCTCATGCACATCAAGCTAGCTACACTATCATAAATTCTAATAATTGGATGTCCAATAATTCTCATAATTGGATGTCCACTTTATGCATATCTAGCCTAAAATTTTGAAAGTTCATTGCTGATACCAAAATTCAAATAATTTTTTAGCATTGAATTAAAATTCATTTTATATTATGCTGATTATAGCACTAGATTTTTATTAATTATTAAAGAATATGTATAAACGTTTGGTAATTTCTTGAATGCACAGGAATGACTGAATTTTCTGAGATTTTAAAGATTAATTTCATATTCACACTTGGATTCATAGTTGCTTAAAAATTGCTGACTGCAAGGTTTATAATATGTAGACAAGTACTGTTGCTTTCTTCAGGAGATTAAGAATCAGAGGTGTGTAACTGTGCTATTCTTTCACAAATGTCAATCCAAGACTCACATAGATTACACTGGGGCTTCTCAAGAAACAAGGTGTCCATAACCTTAATAATCTTCAGTGTACTCGAATCACCAAAGAACCAGAGACTGCTACAATTAGAGACAGCTGTGCATCTCAGCCTCCTCTCTCCCCGAACACTCGGCTGGTACTGTATGACGAAGGTCAACTCACACTTCTGACACCAAATGTCTCAGGGATTTCCACAGCAACACCCAAGGCTCTAACTCTCTGAGCACCATCTTGCCGCCCGATGACTCAGTGCAAGTCTGACCCCACCCAGAGGGAGCTCGCTCCCCCTGGCTCTAAGTCAGGGGTCCCTAGACTCCCCCTCAGGTTGATAATCTGCCAGAAACAGCTCACAGCCCTCAGGCAAAGACTTACTTTGCATTTGCCAGTTTAATACAGAAGCTCCCACATGAGAACAGTCAGGAAAAGATACACAGGACACACGAGGTGAGGTGAGGTAGGGGACAGGAGCACAGAGCCGGTAGCCTCTCCAAATGCACCTGGACATGTTCACCCACCGGGCACTCTCCAATCCCACTCTTTGGAGTTTTATGGAGGTTTCATTATGTAGGAAATACTGACTGAATTAGTGGCTCTTGGTGATTGAACGGTCAAAGGTCCAGGGCCAGCTCTCTAATCACACAGGTGGCTCCTATGACAACCAGTCCCCTCTTGGAGCTGCCTTGCTTCCCCCCAAATAAGACTTCACTGGAAAATAATCAGCCTTGAATACTAGAGATCAAAAATGCCAGTCCCAGTCAGCCTGTCCTTGGCTCACCTGCCTTACAGAACAGCCACTGAGCAGAACAGAGACAGCAGCCAAGGCAGAAATGGCTGTTGGGGCTGGTGTTTTTGATCTATAGCTTCCGAGGCTCATTTTTTTTTCTGGCTAAGTCTCATTTTGGGGGAAAGAGTGTACCTCGAGGTCTTCCTTCACACACCAGCCATCTCACTAGCATGCAAAAAGACTCAATAATCTTCAGATTCCAAATGTCTTGGAAGATCTTGAGTTAAGAACTGAAAACCAAGACCAAATATTACAGCAAAACATGTTTCTACCACTCTGATCAAAGGTTTTAGAAACTGGGCCAGGAGCTGGAGATGGAGGCTAAAAGTGTATTTACTGGTTTACCTGTCCCAGATACTTTGGTAGGAAACCAACTTAGTGTAAACTGTCACCTTGTGTTGAAGTATATTTACCCGAGTCATCAATATTTTTCAACCTATTTTGTGTGACAGTCTTTAAACTGTGTCCATAAGCTATTGTGTAAGCTCTAAGTCTTCTCTCCTCATCAAATTTCCCTAATTTTTCCCTCATTTCACATCAAATCCTAGAACTGCTGCCATTCTGATTGCTGTCCTGAATTTTTTTAATCAAAGTTTGGTTGTTTGCTTGTTTTTAACTTTTTGTAATCAAGGTATAACCTACATACAATGAAGTAGAAAAGTCTCAAGTGTAGCACTCAATGAATATGTATGCATCATTAAGGGATATTTTAAGCCCACAAAAATAGAATCTTATCAAACATCTAGTATTCTATAGGTAGGAACCATTATAATCTAGTTAACCATTTCCCTATTGAGGCAAAGGCAGTTTGGCCATGTTGTTCTCTCTCTCTCTCTCTCTCTCTCTCTCTCAAAACCATATTTTTCAAAAAGTACTTTTCACATTATTTTTCTTCTTATAACATCAATAAATGATCATTGTAAAAATTTCCACACTTCAGAAATGTGTACTTCAGAACAAGAAAGCTGTTCATAAACACTCTCCTCTTCTGAAAACTAGGGAGGAAAAACAGAAGCCATGATTCTCTCTACTTTATTGAATCTTCTGAATGCCTCTAATTAGTCATTGTCATTCAAAAGTTTTCATGATACTTCAAAGAAGCACATAAGCCCTAATGTATTCTATTCAATGGATGAAATTCAGGAAATCCATACAATTTCACAAGAATAAAATAAAATTACATCTTCTTTTGCATTTCCTTCCATGCAACAAACCACCATAGTAATAGCACCTAATACTTTGTCATCACTGAAATTACTCACATTTTTATATCATATATCACTAAAGATTCATTGTACTCATCAGACGGACCTATTCCTAAATCCTCTTACTCCATATACTCACCATGAAAAACATGTATTACTATAGTTCTGCTTTTTCATTATTTTAACAAGTTTTGAAAATGTGACTTATTTATTGCATGAATTTAAGAACATTATTTGGAAGACTGTCTGCCTCAAGAGACTCATGGAAGAAAATAGGCTAAAAATTCTTGGCTGGATGACCTGTAGAGGCCTAACATCTCCTGAGAAAGCTGGCATTTTCAAACAGCCTTCCTGGGCGATCAGGCTCCCTTAAGTTGACCTGAAATTAGCCCTTTGGTAGACTCATGAGGAGTGTATTTAATGAGCTCCCATTTCCTGCAGAATAATCTGACCTGCAGCCAACAGGATCTTTCTCCCTGTTTCCTAAACTCCCATGCACTTTTGAATCTCTCTGTTCCTAACATCTTTGCCAACTTCCTTGGTAGATACAGACTTGCAGAGATTAGAAGCCAGTTTGTCGTGCTCTAAATTATTCCAGTTTTTGTGACCTTATTAAACATTAGCCAATAATTCCAGACTAGCAATATGGTTTTGAATTTTCTTCCTGTCTTCTAACACCCAAATTGTCTCTTCTCATTAAACACAGACACATTTCCCATGGAAGAAGCACCCCCTACCTAGGATGATTGGCACCTGTGCTTGATGAGTTGTTTGAAAAAACTGATTAAAGCAGAGTAAGATGAAAATGACACATGCCTGTTCTAAACATTTTAACTACAAACATGCAAATGCATATTCATGTATCCACTCAGTGAATGTAGGATCGAGACTCCTTCTCTGAGTATGGGTTCTCTGGTTGGAATTCAGTGTCATCTTTCACACTTCACACTCCCCCTAACACATCACCTGTGATCTCCACATTTCTAAAGTGAGGTGAGGTCACAGATAGCTGGGAAGGCAAAGGGCTGCAGGGTCCTGAGCTTGGCTGTGCTTCTTCAGCTGAGTTGCATGCAATTAGCAGGCAGCAAATATTCTTACAGATGACTGGTTATGGAGTCACTGGGAAGGATCCAAGTTGGGTTTCACAGCAGCAATACTCTCCTTCTCTCCTGTCCTATACCATCATATCTCCTACTGACTTACATTGTTTAGGCACAAACCAAGTGCAGTTAGCTTTACTGGGTCTGGAGGAAAACAAATAACAACTCACTCTTGGTAGGAGGAACTGGCTGAACTGCTAAGAGTAAGTGGATAAGGAGACATTCACTATTATTGGGGTGAAGTTGGTCTGTCAGTGGGATTTATAGAGGAAAGGGATGTTCACTGAATCTGGCAAGAAAATTATGTGATGGTCTAGAAGGAAAACTACCACCTCAAAAAGGTACATATATCCTTCCACCCACTTTTACAATGTTAGATTCCCTCTATCCCAGTATTCTATATAATTTCTGTCAAAAAGTCTTTGAAAAACATGGGACTTCTTTTGTACAAAGGCTACAGAGATTTTTAAATGAAAACATAAACAGGCACAGAAGTTTGAACCCAGGGCTTTCCAGGAGTGGTGGTTAGGAATATTGGGGCAGTCTACACCATCTGGTACCACCCAGTGTCTACTGCACCCACCAGTGTGGGCCACAGATTCACCTACAATGACCAGCAATATGAGGAACTGACACGTAGATAAGCTTAAATTAACTATTATGTCTGGTCAACCTAAATAGCTGCTGTAAACTATAGTTAAATTATATAGACTTCAAGACTTATTGTACAAAAATAATTTTTATTAACTTCCCAATTGTTAGAAAATATCTAGATCAGCCTTCTAGAAAATTTTGCAGTCTAGTACAAATATTACGTTTTTTAAGCAACAAAGTGTAAATGAGGACTAAAATGTATAATAGATACTGTGAAATAGGAAGAAAATGTTCAGAGGGGAAGGGGAACTAAGGAGGGCGGGGGGGAGGAAAGAAGGGAAAGAAAAAAATGGGAAAAGAAGAAAATAATGGAAACAAAGTTTCTGTAAATAGGGAGGGGAAGTGGGGTGGAAGGAAGGGAAGGTGAATGGGAAAAAAAAAAGAATCAAGATACATCATGTACAGGTACAAATTCCCTAAGATGAATGTGATCATAATGTTAATCTAAATTGTACCGATAAATTCAAAGAATAAAAAAAACCTGAGTGAAAAAAGAACTGTTCAATACTTAAATCCACCTGCTTTCGTCCTCACAAAATATTAACTATCATTGAGCTTCGTGGGAGCTATTTTGCGCAGAATGGGGTAGCACAGCAAAGGCAGGAGGAAACAGCCACAGTCTGCTGCCGGTCTAGGTGACAAGTTCAGCACACCTTAGTAGCCCCTGCGCCACTACCAGAGTCCAAGTCAGTACTGGCATCTTTATTTCAGCTATTTTAGTGACAGCATTCTACGCAGCTACAGCAACTAGATATTCGGCCCTGAAGATGCGCTTCCCATTCCCTCCAGCCGAAGATATAGTAGCGTCTTGTTTGATTATGAGGTAGTGTAAACACATAAAATCTTCTCTACCTTAATCACACTCAGTTTCTGCAAAGAGGATCAGATGAAGGGCCTGGACTGGTTTGGAGTCAAAGAGGAATCCCACATGAATGGCTCTACTCACACCAGGCCCAGGCTACAGAAGGTCCCGGGGTTCCACCTTGTTATGGTTTATATCTACATGTCTACGCCAAAGCTTCATGCACTCAGAGGTGGAGCTTTGCGGAGGTGACTGAATCACAGGGGTGAGATATTAATCAGTGGATCAGTCCCCTGATGAGTTTATAGCTGAACGTGATGTTGGGAGGTGAAGCCGGATAGGAACAGGCTGGGGGTGAGGCCTGGAAAGGTGTATCTTCCTCCCTCCTCTGTTGATAGCCCTCTCACCCCCTCCACTGATGTCGCTCTCTCTCCCTTCTCCTTCCTGTCCACCATGGCATGAGCAGTTCTCCTCTGCCAGGCCCCTCTGCTATGCTGCCCTTCTGTGGAGCCAGCCGACTATGGACTAAAACCTCAACAGACTGAGCCAAAATAAACTTGTCTTCTTTAGAGTCGTGGGTGTCGCGTACTGTGTCCCAGCCTCAAGCAAGTAACAAGACAAACTTATTTGTTCAGACACACAAGCCGTCACAGGCAAGGCTGCTTTCATCTCCACCAAGCGTGGACATTCAAACTGTGCTTGCACCGTGATCCCATTGGCCCCGGCACTTTCTGAGCTGAGCTGGAGAAAGGCTGGGAGAAAAATTCTCTTTGGGATCCCAGACCTTTTATTTTTTTCACTGCTGGGGATCAAACCCAGGGCCTCATGCCTGTTAGCAAGGGCTCTACTGCTGAACTGCATGGTCAGTCCTTTTTGTTTTTCATTTTATTTTTATTTTCAGACAGGGTCTCACTAATTGGCCTAGGTTGGCCTCGAACTTGTGAACTTGCCATTCTCCTGCCTCAGCTCCCAGGTACCCGATGTACAGATAGGCAACAGTGCATCCAGCTGGGATCCTGGACTTTCTCAAGCAGTTGTGCCTGCCAAGTACTTATGTTGAGCCCCTAATCCCCTACGTGGCTCTGTTAGAGATAGGGCCGTTTAGGAAGTAATTAAGGTTGGATGAGGTTATAAGTTGGGGATCCCACTCCCATAAGAATGATGACATCCTAAGACAAGAGCATAGACTCACACCCAAGAGAAGCTTTTGGGCATGCAGGAAAGGGACCACATGCAGGCCAAGGACAGCGTTCACGAGCACCAGTCTGGAAGGCACCTTGGCCTCCAGTTGTCCTCTGTCTGCTGAAGATGGAAGGAAGCAGCACACACACTCAGGAAACATTCTTCAAAACTAGTTAAGAGACCAAAGTGTTGGTCCTTGAGTATCTTTTCATTATCTGGAAAATATCTTCTATGGAGCGCCTCAATTCTTCTAGCGTGCCAAATTACACAAGCGTTGTTATCCTGCGGATGAAGCATGCCAGTTAAAAACACACTCAGAATTCAATGAATCATTTTGCCAGCTTGTTTACAAATTTAAATGTCATTTGATTCTGGGAAATGTTTTTCTGCTTCCGTGGAAGTGAATGTCAAGATTTTTGACTAAGAGTCTCTCAGTGGACACTGTAGAGCACTATTTTAGGCATTCTGTATCAAGGATTTAAAACTGGTATGGACCTTTTTTATTTTCTAAGATTTGAATCTAGCCTCTGTCAGGCCGAAAGAAACCCTGCCCTGCGAAAAGCTCAGATAGGATTCCTAATGCAAGAAGAAATAAAACGCGAAGCAGGTAACTAGAGTACAGCGGGGATGTCCATAGGACTGAATGGGTGGACCACAGGCTGTGCCCTGTGTCTTTCACAGAAGTAACCCTAAAAGAGAAGCTCTGGCTTCTCTATCCTGGAGTCTTTCACTCCTCAATAGTTAGAGGAACCACAGGCTTCATGAACACCTTCCTGAAAAATTAAGAGGGAAGAAAACAATATTGTATGCTTGCTCCCTACAGTTCTGCCCAAAACAGTATTTGCTTTCGCCGCGCTTGTTTATAGATTTGATGGTAAAACAAATTGAAAACAGCCTCCTTGTGCCTGAAGCGTTATCCCGCCCATCTTTGTATCCAGATCTGCGTTTGTGGTGAGGCATTGCTCATTCCTCATGTGAGAAAACAGGAGACGAGGTCCAGGGCGCAAGTTTTGTCTTTCACTGTGTCAACAGCGAGGTCCCCTGATCACCGAGGGGCTCGGAACACCGTTCACCACTGGCAAGATGGCGCTCCATATTGGTTAAACCAAAATTTTCGTGGCAGTCACCAAGACCACTTGTGGTGTGAAAAATAAATTCACACTATGCTTTTCCGCCCAACAGAGAAATATTAAGCAGACCTTTCTTTCTAAGAAGTGAGAGGAGCCCCCAGCTCTGCCGAGAACACAACCCCACCTCTGAAACTCCTGCCAGAAGCCCCGCAGCTCAAGTCTGGGGCTCAGGAAAACCCTAGATTGTCCCCTCAAACACACAATCCCGCATTTTCAGAGAACTCTGAGCTCATGTGTTTCTGATTCCCTCGCATGGCACTGCCCAAAGGGTTTTACAAGCTTTTCTCAGGAAACTTTTTGTATTGTGAACTCAAGAGTGATATTTAACTAAAAATGAACCAAATGTAAATCCCTACCTATGAGGCATTAATTTGAACCAAAGACCACAAAAATACCTCTTAAAATGAGAGCGGCTGGCTTCTGGGGTATGCAGGGCTGACAGCTCCGTCCTCTCCTTTTCTTCTGCAGTTTTTCTCCTTTCTTCCTAACCAGGGAAAGAAGCGCTTTTTCATCAAACAGAGAGGAAATCTCAGCAGTGAATCCAAAATATCACTCTCATAAATCCCTACACTAAAGCGAAGATGTTCTCATCATTAAACTTTTTTAAAAAAGATTCTTTAAAACACACACACACACACACACTATTTTTTTCAAAAGGTCAAGGAAACTGTCAAGTAATTCAGTTAGCCTTTCAGGGTCAGGTCTACAACATAAACTTAAAATTAAGGATTTCGATTTGAATTAAATCCTTTTAAAACATTCACAGATTTAATAGTAACCTCTTGTACCCAGGGGACTTCAAATTCTTATTTCTAATATCCACTGGATTTCAAAAGCAAATTCTAGACCAAATATTTGGAGTAACTTGAGTTCTGTCTATATACCATCTTCATACTCATGTAGAGGAGGTTTACAGAAATTGGACCCTTGAGAGAAATGATTTCTTACCAGCCATAAAACCAGGTGCATGGGAGGGTTCATTAGCAATCGGCATTAAACTGGAGCTTTCCTGGGGAGTCTGAAAGTTGTCTGGACTTCCTCCAGCAGGGAAATGAAATAAATACCCATCTGCCGTGTTCTCTGGTTCTGGTAAAATCCAATGAAAAGTAACAATGAAGGTCAAAAATATCTCTCCATATAGATTAGACATAGACATAGAGGCATATCTCTGAGGAATATTTAGTTGAAGCTGGATGGGGCAATCCATGCATCTCAATAAAAAGTTCATGGGCCCTCAAGTCCCTGCAATATGTACCTTCCCGGGGTTCCCAAGGCCAATTGATAGCTAATTCTGGGACCTCCCTGTCCAAGAGGTTTCTATGCTGCTTTCACCAACAGCCCTCCACCTCCAAAGCCCACTTGTATTTTAGGAAAAGCTAAGAAGGCAGAAATATTAAAGAAAGAGATTTTTCATTTTCACCTAATTTAGATATCATAGTATCACTAATTGACCCCTTTGTATGGGAAAAGATAACATTCTTCAAATTATGGGAAAAAATAATAAAGAAAGAAATTTTTCATTTTCACCTAATTTAGATTCTGAGGTATCATAAACTGACCCCTCTGATTGGGAGAAGATAACATTGCTCAAATTAGAAATGGCTTGATTCTGCCATAAAATGGAAGGGCTGGAGTTTAAATAATTATGTGATTGTATTCTGTGGCTGAATGGAAGATTATCTGCCTTTCTCTGCAGTCTTCAGCTCCGGGAAGGGGGAAAGTTGTCTGCTGTTGGAATAGCCTGCCTGGCTGCTGAAAAGCCCTGTAGAGGCCTCTTTAACCCACTTATTCCATGAAGCTTTTCATGCACGTCCCATCCACTGTGTGATGGGACATAAATGTGTGTGCGTCCCTCCACACAGTGGGAACAGAGAAGGCAGAAGAAAGGCAGAGGAGAGAACACTGCGGAGTCAACTCCATGGCCTCTGAGATCTGTTAACTCTCAGGTGGTTTCCCTTCACTTCTCTTCGAGCTTCTACACAGCCAGCACTTTGCTGCTTTGAATGAAAAGCAGCCGAGGATAGGACGGGACCAGCCAGGGTCCTCCAGCAAATATGATCAAATGGAGGCCCTCAGAATTGTTTTGTTTGCCCAATACAAGTGGACCTTACATTCCACAGCAAGCATCAGAGGTGGTATATGCTTAATTTGGGCAAAGTATTTCTCCCCTTTTAGAGGAAGATATTTATACATTTAATTTTTAGCAAAATAAAAACATACATCCCTTTCACTTCGATGTGGTTTTTTTTTTTTAACCTTTCATTTACTTAATTGTTTAATAAGACTAGTTAGGCACATTTGCCCCTCACAAACCAAGTACATTAATTCTTTCTCTTTCAATCCCGGTAAAGCCACTTGAGGTGATCTTGCAAGAGTGGACATTGATTTTTTTGGATAACAAATGGTTGGAAAGGAAATTGAGTGACAAGTATGTTTTAGGGTCTTCATGGTGAGCTGGCTTTCAGAAAACACAGTGTTCTCCAAGAAATTTGCAGAGTCTCAGCTCCAGCATTCGGGGTCACGGAGCTAGACTTCCAAGCATGCAATTCAGTAAGCCTATAGAATAATGCTCATTTTCTCTTTTCATTATATTTGTTCAAGAAAAAAATCTCTGGGTGGTCCCTCCCAGAAGGGATGGATGAATCTTACATTCTGATTGGATTTCTCTTTTCTAACTAGACATCCTCTAAGCCACTGCTCATTACTCCAGTCCAGGTAGTCTAGTCTAGTCTAGCAGTCAGAGGTGAGGAGCCTCTTCAAGGTTATTCACAATGCTTTCCTGCCTCCAGTCCTGTGACTGTTAAGGTCACCAGGAAAGAAAGCTCCATGTCTCCCCTCGATGACACAGTTAGTGTCTTGCAGTCCATTCTGCTGTGATAAGCAAAGTTAGGAAAGAGGTGAGATCTCTATATCTCAAGGTATTATGGTATAGATTGGTACTGACAGCAAAAATAACCTGCTTTTTCCTGAAGAAAGACTGAGCCACAAAATGTTTTCAAACTGCAACACAAGCACAAAGGACTGAGAAGACACACTTTTCAAACTTAAGACATCAGACACATTAGGCAAGATGAAAAGAGGGCTTCCCCTTCAACTTAGAGAATAAAATTACCACAAAATTTCCCTCATGTAGAAGAAATACCCAACTGGCAGCTTGTTGATGCTTTTGTTCCCCCTGAAATTGGTTGTGCAAATGAGTTCCAGGGTGTGGATGGAGGGGAAAGAGGGAGTAGAAGCCATGAGTGGGTAGCTACACTTCCCTGGCCATTTGTGACATACATGAATGGAGAGGAAGAGGGAGGGAAGAAGAAAGAGAAGAAGGAAGGGAGGGAGAGAAGGAACAGGAGGAGGGAGGGAAGGAGGGAGGGAGGGAGGGAGGAGGATTCATGAAGTATTACATAGAAATCAATGCTAGAAACCTGGAGTCCTAGAACTTGTCTCACGAACACTATATATTTCATTCCACTCTGGTGTGGTGAGTTTCCCACAGCATGGAGCTGGGATGCAGCTCAGTGGTGAAGCACTTGCTTAGCACATGCAAGACACTGGTTCCAATCCCTAGCATGGCAGCAAAAGAAAAAAAAATCACAGGACAGTCAAAAACATCTGATGAATAAATCATTTTTCTTCCTGGACTCCTAATGAGAAGATAAAAGCACTGAGAAGTCCGTACAGTTCCACGATCGCAAATATGAAGGCAACTGGTAAAGGACGACTCTCCATTGGCTTAGACAATCAGCAGAGCAAATAAGCTATAGGCATTTAATGCTTTCATACTCTGGCAAAGAAAAGAATTAAAAGTACTTCAATGCCATGGTCTGTTTTCCTTTTGAGTAATAATTATTCACGCCAACTTCTCGGGATTGAAAATTCAGTTTCCTTCTTCAGTAACACGCAGCTACCTTTTGCCAACAATTATTATAATTTGCAACTTTCAGAAATATCTCAAGCCAAACTTCTTCCTTGTCTCTGTTTATGTACTCAGCTTAAATTACACTCTTTTGCATTCATAAATATGTAATATTATCATGTTTTGGAGTCATTTGATCGTATCCTAAAAATATAAACTCTACCAAGTCAGAATTCCTTTATTTTACAAATTTCTACAGTGCTATGCAGCCTATAGACTTCTAATAAACAATTGGAGTTTTTAATTGAATGCTCATCCAGTGTAACAAAAAAAATGTATAAAATTCACCAAAGAGATTGAAAAGAACGGACAGGAAGTCAAGAAAGGGATGAAGTCATTTTCTTGAACAAGATGAGAGCCTCAAAGAATAACAAGTAGAGCTGCTGACACTGTGGGAGCCTCCTCTCTCTCTCTCTCTGTCTCTCTCCCCTTTCTCTCTCCTCTCTCTCTCTCTCCTTTTTTCTCCCTCCTGTCTTGATGTCCAAATGAAATAAAAATTGTGTCTCTCATTGTAATTGTATACCTGTATAATATCAAGGATCAGGTAGAAAAAGCATTTGTATAACTGATCTTTCATTTTCACTTTTTATTTATATGTTACCAATTTGAGATAGAAGGAACAAATGGAACATCACTGATTGGAATGATATCGTGATAAAATAGCTATTTTGGAATCCACTTCCTGAATGTAAAGGGTGGGGGCCTCAAGGACATGAGGAGGGACAGCCAGGGCTGTTACTTCAGAGGTTGTCACAGATTACGATGAGGAAGTGTTCCCTCTGAGGGTATAAACTGCACCTTTTTAAAACAACAGCATATTTTAAGAAGAGAAAAGACAGTTTTAGAAGCACACATATCCTAGCAATTTTCTAATAAATAGCAGCCCACAGCAGCTGGTATGACACCACACAACTGAGCATTCGGGTTTCCTGCAACCAACTCTCGCCTGCTAAAAATGGAGGATTTGACAGATTTTTAGAAATGTTCCCTGAATCCTAATTGATGAGCAACAGTTGGTAAGTGAGCATGCCAATTAAGCCAAAGAGTGAGTGTTCATTCATTGACATGGTGCTTCCACGAGGGAAGAAAAGAGAATTTGCAAAAATATAAAAATACAGTGGGAAAGTGTCGATGGAATGCAGCATCATTTACTAGTTTGCATCTCCTGATTATTCACCAATAGTTGTTTACTGGAAATGTACCCCATGCAATCATAATACTTGAGCTAGGACCCACTCATAGTTTGCTTTGACACTTATTTCCTTTACAATAACAATCCATAAAACAAGGTCATTTCCTGAGGAAGCTTTTTCAGGCCAGAAGCATACAGAATGGTCAAATAAATGAAAACAGCCATCAAGAAATGTTGAGCTGCACAGTGTCATTTCAAATTAATCTCTAGCAGCCGTTTTAAACCTTTCAACGATAGCTGCAATGCTTAGCTTTCTTCTTTTCTCCTCACAGTAGGAACTGAAGACATTGGAATGGTAAGAACTTGAAAACCATAATAGACAAGGAAAACAGGCTGCTGTGGCAGAGCTCACGGGGTTCCCCATTGCTCTCTGAGAGTGGGGCTGGAGGACCAGCCACCTAAGGCACAGGCTCACAATTCCCCTGATAGGAAGACCCCACCCACAGATAAGAAAGGCACCCATTGTACCTACCCAGCTGAGTGAGGGAAGCTGCAATTCCAGTATCTGTCACCAAGGGCTTTGTGTGTTGGGGGCGTTGTGTGTCTCCGGCATTGTATAAATAACAGCAGTCTTGCTATCTACAAAACATAAAACCCTTTTTGTCATTTGTATTAATGAATACAGACGGCCGGAGTGACTTTTAGTGGAAAACTCACACTGGAAAGTTTTCCCTGCATGATTCATATGCTGAGTTGCTGAGGGTTGCAGTGAAGAGGGGACCTAGGGAGTGTGATAAATGTAGAAGCAAGTCCATCAGAAAGGAAGTGAGTCTGTTCTTAGGGTTATGGCTTTGGAAGTGAATTTAATAGTGGTGAATTGTCAACAAGTGTAGAGAGGGAGCAGCGTGGTAACAAAAGCAACAGCTATGGTGCTGACCCCCCTCAAAATAAATCAACTCGGAACGGTGCTCTTCCACATGGCCCCAGCAAGCCCCACAGATGGAAAGAGAGTGAACCGAGCTTCAGGGTCCAGTAAGACTTTGGGAGGGAGGAGAAGCCTGAAACCTTAAGGGATGTCCGGTGTTCGTGACAGAGTTTTGGAAAAGCAGTTATTGACACTGAAGAATAAATAAAAGTCAAAAACTATGTCTGCTTCTCTGGGTCCTTTGTTAATGTGTAAATGTAGTAAAATAGAGGAGAAAAATCGAAGACTCTTCTTAAAATTCAACACTCAAAACAGTTCCTAAAATCCCAGTTGAGCTCCTGCCCTCCTCTTCCCCCCTCAGCCGCCATGCCTGACCTTGGTTCCCTGAACTCCTGGCTTGTCTAAGAGTTGGACGTCTTAGCCCAGAAGTAGAGATGATCAGTCAAGGTGCTCTCAGTCAACAAATAAGGTAAAGGGAGGACAACCTCATATGGATTATACAGGGGTCAAGAAGCAAAAGAGTTTTGGAGAAAGCAAAACCTACTTCACCTGGACTACAAAGAATTTTACACAGCCCCAACCATAGGAACTTCTACCTACTGTGCAAACACTTTTACGGGAACAAATGTAAATAAATAAAATATGGTAAAGAAGGATAACTTTGACACATTTGTAGGAAAATGGATGTACCTTGAAGCCATAATTTTAAGTGAAATAAACCAGACACATGAGCTTAAATATCACAGGGTTTCTCTTACATGAGAAACCCAAAGTAGAAACGAAGAGCAAAATAAAAGACAGATCATAGGAAATAGGGAAATGGGATGTTTTGCAAATGTGAAGGGAACTAAGACATGGGAAGAGGAAGGGTATAAAAAAGAAGTCAGGTGTGTTCCGTATAGGCACCAACTGCTGTGATGAATGCAAATGTCGTGCTCTGTAAACACGTGCTAATGAAAATAAGGATGACTCTTGTGAGGTATGCTGACCAAGAGCTACCTGTGAGGAAAAGAGCAAAGTAAAGTCAGCCTTGTGAGAAATGGTAGCGTTTTCCAGGTTGGGATAGGACACGAGCCAGCATGTGTCCGGCAGGTGGGCTGGCAACATGGGCAGATGGGCGTTTCCTACTTCATTGTCTCCGTAGCTAAGGGTGACGTCAAGCCCTAAATCACCCTCATCCGTATTTCTCACCTCGCCCCCAGCCCCAAGATAAAAATTTACGGAGAAAGCAAAATTCCTTTTAATCAATCACCTTGTTCCCCCTTTCTGATCATTACTGTTGCCACTCTCCGTTAATTCAGGCGAAACCCAGATCTGTGACTATGACTCCAGAGTTCAAAATGACAAAGCCCATGCCATGGGACAAAGAAACAGCGTGTCCTGAAGGAGAAATCACACCTGACCGTGAAAACTGAATCCCAGAAATAGCCAGGTGATCTACAGCTTTCCAGATAATCACCAGCAGTGAGAATGATAATACTTTAATGACATATTACATTTAAATAGCACCTTTCAGACTCCATCATGTTCATCTACACAACAGGTCCACCAAGGAGGAAGGAGTGGCTATTTCTCCCATTTTGGATGAGAAAATTGAGAAGTAAAGAAGGCGACTCACCCAGGTCCATGCCTGCCCTGGCTGTGGACCCAGGTATGCTTGTCATTCAATCACTAGGTTTCCGCTGACCTAGCTAGGGCAGTGAGTTGGCTTGAGGGGCCCTAGGAACAGGGGGGAATATCTGAGTGGTTTGAAAAGTGTCGGGCTTTCTCCACTTCCTGCCAACACCTGGTGGGAACACTGGCAACTTGTGGGGACCCCCTGCAACAATGTCTGGACCTCCCTCAATCCCTTTCTTGGTCCCAAGACTGAGCCTCACCTGGAATGCAGAAAATCAAGCCTCCACAAGTGCAGATTTGGGGGTAGGCACCCTTCTTGGTTTCCTTTGCTCTATCTCCCTCCATCTATGTAGTCCTTAGAACCTAGAGGACCCTGGGCGTTGTCATGTGAGAAATTTCTACCTTCTACTTATTTCTGCCCTCAGCCTAAGCTGACCTCCTTTTTGGGAGCTGCTCCACATTTGTGGCAGGCTCAGGCTCCTCCCCCCAGTTTAAGAAGAACACCTGCTTCTCTCTCCAACACTGTGGCTAACTTGCGTTCCAACCTAAAGGTATTTCCATCTTCCCTTAGACCAGCCGTCCTTTTGTTTTGCTTACTAAGTGAACTCTACTCAAGTGCAGTAACCATAATGGACAGTCTGCAAGTGATGCGTTATCTACTCAGGAAGACATTTCACCTTGACTAGTCCGTGGTTTAGGGAAACGCAAATGCCCTTGCTCTGGCTTTGCCATAGATAAAGTGCTTTCATCTGTGTTACTGTATTTGTAGGTAACTTATTTGTAGTCTCAGAATTTCATTTTCAACAATCACCACCAAAATATTTAGAAGTTTATAATTCAGTTCCAGAATCTGCCCCAAAATTCAAACACCAGTTTTACCATTAATTCATTTGGCAATGTGTTTTTAAAAAGAGAACAAGTGAGTCTTAGATCATCTTCCACTCACTGTGAACATCAAACATAATCTTCTAAGAGACAGTATAAACATTAGCCACTTTCAGAATGTGGTTAAACACTTAGCAAACTGTTTAATGTTCTTTAAGATCCTGCTACAGCCACAATGAAAATTACAGATTTTGAAGTTAACAGCAGTAATATTTCCTTAAGAGTAGACAGTGTTTTAAACCAAAGCACTTACCAACAATTTGTCCAGTCTGACGTACATTATCTTGTGTATCATGGCCCACTAATTCTACAAAAGAATTTCTCAGTTATCTAATCCATCCACAGAGCTCAGAGACATGTACCTGGCAATGACACATGGTTTCATATTTCTAGTACAGACCTCTCTGAATTCCTGGCTTATGCATCCAATGATATACTTGACATACTTACTTATAGTCACTTGTTAGAGTCATTTCAAAATTAATCATATGAAATCGATCACCTGATTTGATTTCCTGCAAAGGAAAAACCAAGCTAGGAAAAATAAAACTCTTTTGGAGTTTTAATTTAGAAGATTTTATTATAGGTAAAGATATTTTCTGAAATGAATTACATTGGTTAATTTTTTTCCTTATGGTTTTTTCAGATTTCTTCAATGAACGTGAATATATGTATATACACACATACTACATCCGCACTTGCACATATATCAGAATCACTGTCTCGCTATCAGGACAAAAGACCCAACACCTACAACTTAAAGAGATGTTTATTTGGGCTCACAGTTTTTAGAGGTTCAGTCCATAGTTGGTTGGCTCCAGGCCAGAAAGAGCATGGCACCAGAGGGTGCAGAGGACAGCTGCTCATGTGGTGGCAGACAGAAAGCAGACAGAGTAGGGGATCCAGGACAGACATACATCCTTCTAGGTCATCCTCCACTTACCTGCCTCTTCCACCCAGGCCCCATCTAACAGCACATGTAGCTATGCATTCGCCATTGAATTAATATACTGATGAGTCTGTCACCTCCATGATCCAATCACCTCCCCAAAGCCCAACCTCTGAAAGTCTCTTTTGGGGGATATTCTCTATTCGAACCATATCAACATGCAACATATATCCTCCAGGAGGATTCCCACCAAAAGTGAAATTCTGTTGATTTAATAACTCAGAAGTTGAATTTTTAGGTATTTTAGAAAATGAGGCCTTGTTTTGTCATCATAGAGCTTTTTTGAATATCAGGGGCAAAGGCCCTTTCTGTGACATGGCACATGCCAGTGTGAATGTTAGTAACTCTATGAGACAGTAGTGAGAACACAGAGAGTCCCCTTTGTTAGATTAAGTTAACTGATCACTTAAGCCAGGTTAAGATGGTTCATTAAAAGTCCTGGCAGTGTCGTCTACCTTCGCGTGGCTGTTCAGTCCTACATAGCTGGCTATGGCCCCTCACAGATGCCTGAGCCCGAGCACATCCCACCTCTTATCCAGAAACCTCGCCACACCACAGGTCTCCTAAGCTTCTGTAGCTTCACTCACACACCTGGGTCCAAGTAACGGACCATTCTACATAGAGCAGGGTTTTCTCTAAAACATCTCCAGAAAACAAGTGTCGCTCTGGACAAAGAACACATTTCCTTGTCCCCAGAGGAGACCCCAGCGCTCCCCATCCCCACCCCACCTGGCCACCTTCCTCTTGTCACGACAAGAGTAACAAGTGGACTGCCTTCTCCTGGGGACCCATCCTCACTTCTTTCTTACTCCAGGAAAGTAGGCTCACCTGGAGGAAAGAAGTGGGACTAAAAGCTCTAAATGCTTAGTCTAGACATTCAGCCTCCAGTCCAAATGATGATCTTTTCAGGCTTATCTACCACTGTGTGTATCATGATTTCCACCAAACCTTACACTTGCTGTCCCCTGTAGAGTCTTGGTTTATAGTTTCAAGAGCTATGGCTTTACTTGCACTATTTTCTTTGCCTGGAGTCTGCTCTTGCCAACACTGACTCACTAAATATGAAAGCTTGTTAAAACTCAACTCGTTTATGATCCCAAAGACCACTTCCTCCACCATACTTCCACTGGCGGTGGTTCCTCCCAACTCCAGATTCTTGCAGGGGCCTGTGTGTCTGTTTATAGCATGCATAGCCAATTCGGTTTCAGAGGCACTTGTCTCGTTTCCATCGTTTCTTGCTCAGTCTCCTGTCTATCACATGTGCCCTTGGAGTGTCTGTTACATGAATATGGCACCAGTAATAGCCCGAGGCCTGTATTCTGCAGCCAGAGCATCTGGGTCCAAACCCTTACCCCCCACCTCCTGGGTGATGAACTTGGATGGGTTAGTTAGTATCTTCGTTCCTTGGCTTCCTCATCTACAAATGGACAAACCAAGCCCTGACTTTGCAGGCTTATTGTTGCAAAACAATAGGAAGTAGTATACATGCTTAATAAGTGGATGCTTGAATGAATTTAAGTTTAGTGGAATAATATTTAGATGTTGGTATGCATATTTTCATAAATAGAAGCAGCATTCAGGCTCGAAAGGCACTTGAGATTGAACCAAGCAGGGAGCGTCAGATTATGTGGGTTTCTGGGCACGGTGACAAAGCACTCAGGGTGTGCACCTTGGCAGAGGCGTATTAGACTTGCTGGTGTTTATGGTATGAAATAAGGTTTATGACTTCAGCTATCTCACTTTCCTGGAGTTTTCACCCAGTGATAAAGTATGCAAGATTAGAAGTAAAGGAATCAGGGTGGAGAGCAGCTGACCAGAAAGGCCAGCTGACAGTGGATGGAACACAGGGCATCAGAACGGCCATGACCACCATGGTCTATGGAATGGTTGCAGGTGGTTCGGCAGGTATCAAAGTTCATTGTTTATATGCATATACATAAAAACCTAAATATGATGGCTACAATTTTCTCCAAAATCTTTTTAAAATCATTTAGAATCAGTATGGTTTTAAAGGTTTCACACACACACACACACACACGTACAAATGGTTCAGCTCTGTTGGTCAACCCCTGTTGGATATTATAAGGCACATTCTCTTAGTATCTTGTATCATTTGCAAGGGATACCTTACATTTTTTGGATTTGCATTTAATTGTTACCATTGAAATACGCTTTAAAAGTGCATCACTTAACATTATTGTCTTAATGCCTCCATTTTTCTACAAATGTCTCAAGCTTATCTTTCTTTATGGCAGAGTAGCACTCCACTGTGTACAAATATCACATTTTCTTTATCAGTTCATCTGTTGATGGACACATAAGCTGCTTCGACTATGCATGTATCACTGTAATATGATGACTTTAACTCTTTCAGAAAGATAAATACAAGGGGACTAGCTGAGTTAAATGGAATTTCTAATTTCAGTTTTTTGAGGAATCTCCATACTGATTTTCATAGCTGTGGTACCAGTTTACATTCTACCAATAATGTGACACATAAGTCTAAGTATCTCATGGTTTCTGTCATATGAGAAATTCGAAGCATAAATAAAGAGCAAATTGAAGATAGAGAATAGGAAGTAGGGAGATAGATCTTTCTCAGAGGGGAAGAGGATCAAGAGAGCAGGGAGGGGAAGGAGGAGAGGAAAGTGAATGAGAAAGAATTAAGATGTGCTATGTACAGGTGCCGGTGCCCCACAAGAAATGTCAACATCATGTGTTACAAACATGCACTACTGAAAAAAAAAAAAGTAAATCAGTGGCTTTGAGTTGACAAGTAGTAACAGAGGTAGAAATGTAAATTCTACAGTTAGAAATGCCCTAAGCATAAAACATGAACAGATTCCAACTGGAAATATGAAATTGAAAGGTTGGTCTGCCAGGACAAGTGAATGCACAGCTGAGGTTTTATAAAAGCATCAGAAAAGGAAGGAAGATGATAACAGGGGAACTTACAGGGAGTCACTCATTTGTCCCACTACTTGATATGTTATGTAAGAGACATTTCAAGGAAAGACACAAGGTCACTGAAACCTTCCCTGTTTTCAAAAGAAAAAAATATTCAGAGTGATGTTTCTGATAAGCCAACCAAAAAAAAAATCACAGGACGAATACAAAATGATGTTTTTCCATGAGAAATTGACTAATCTGTTATGAGGAAAAAAGAGACCAAAATTACCAACATCCCTCAAATTTGCATTTTTATCAAAAACTACAGGGGAAAATCATGCAAGTGAGAAGTGGGATCGCTAGCTGCCTCAATCCTGGCAGTGAGGCCACCATGCAAGGTCTGCAGCACGCATCTTACCCAAGAGGCAGCTAACTCTAAGACATAGGCTGTTACAACAATGCTCATCCACAAGCGAAAGGAAATGTCAGGGTGTAAAAAGCAGATGTGACTCAGAAAATGGCCCAGGGATGGAGGTGGCTCCTGCATGAATGGGTCCCTCTATCCCCAGCACCCAGCCCAGCACCAACCAGAGAACAGACACAACAAACACATGTTGAACGCAAGAAACAGAAATGTCACAACTCTATGCAATAGGTAAGTGAACAAAGAATGCAATCTATAAAACCAGTTCTCAGTGTGTTTGTTTAAAGAATGACTTCCAGCTTGGCATATTATTTCACGCACTCAGCATCTCTAATGTACGCATGCATTACATAACCAAGCTATCTCATCTCTGCTTATAGAGGGCTCTGGATTGTTTTCTACTTATTTTACTTTTACCTTTGTTATCTCATTCTACAAAAACTAAAAGTCCTAATGTTGAAAAGGAAGGGAATTTCATGATATTTTGATGTGTTTTTAGCAGGAAACACCAGTAGTAAGGTTGCCTCTGACAAGATTCCATTAATTCATTCATATCGCTTTGTTTTTCCTCGGGTGTTTTAAATTCAAAGGAGAGTACCTGACACTTGGTAAGTTCTCAAAAAGTGTATTACACAAAATACTTGCAAATCAGCACCACTATTTATGAAAAATTTTCCAGTAAATGTTCTGTTTTCCTTTGAAAACATTTGTTAGAAAAACTTGATATGAAAGTTGGGACCGTATTATGGCAAACTTCCAGCAAGCATCATTCAAATAACTCTACTTTGCATATACACAAAATTTATGCTTCGAAGTGCATATGGACAGTTCCTGGCTGTCCTTTCCTGAGATGAGGAAGCTCGAGGAGAGGCAGATTTCAGAGCAGGCACATGTTCTATTATAGAGTTTTTAAGTTTGTAGAGTAAGAATTGTTCAGAGACATTGGAATATGGAGACTTTTTTTTCCAGAAACTGATTTAAATTTTTAAAAATAATTTCCTTTAAAAAGTTTATATTCAGTGTGATCCATTTGGGGATCAAAGGCAGATTTTTTTAATTAGTCATAAGAATACAAAATTTTCATATAAAAGCTAGTATGAAAATTGTTTTTGGCATATGGTGCCAGAAAGAAACATTTTTTTCTTCACTCACACATTCATACACACACACACAAGTGTACACAGCACACAGGCACACACATAAGCACACACAAACACACAGACACCACCCATGTAGGTCCTAATGTACACGACATACACCCCTTCATCCTTAATGCCAACTTTACCTTTGAGCTTGGGGAATCTTCCCTTTCCAAATGCAAGTAGCTTTAAACGTTCATGTACACAGAAAAGGAACATTAATTCACTTATCTTAGAAAACCTAAGCAACAACTAATAAAAGCAGGTTAGACTGTTGCTGCCCAAAACCACAAAAGCAAGGCAAAGCTATAAAAACAAACATCTGTTCACTTTTCACAGGATTATGTGTTTGCAAGAACATTTTCCCATGTTGCATAGCATGTTTTTTCTGAATATTAACATGCAATAAAAGAACCATACCTTTTCCATATTATGCACAAAACCCAGCTGGACATGTGTCCCCAGTGAATCTCCAAACTTCAGGTAGGACCAGAACGCTTCTCCTCCTTTGATACTTCTCCCTTTATGTCTGTCTTTTAAAAAAGGGATTCTTATTTATCCTGTTATTGTCAGAAGAAATAGAAACCACAATTACGGAGGTGATAAACACATGTATTCTTAAGAGGTTAAAATATTTTACTGGTCAACTGCAACTAATGTTTGTTGTAACTTTTGAATTTGATTTTCTAGTTGGCAAAAAGAAAAAGCATTGGAAGGAAAGGTAATCTATATATACTTTGTGACATGAAAATAAGCAGACTTAGTGCTCTGTTGGTCTCCCATAAGAGATATCCATGCAGCCACATCTACAGTGTTTCATGTGGTTATTCTTGAGCATCCTAAGTACAAATGCTGGATGTATTTGCCTTCATTCTGAATACTGTTTCCAACTGCAGCTTGCTTACTGATTTCAATATCAAGCTCCAGGCCCTTCACCTCCGTGCCAGCGGGGCTGCAAAGAAAACATTTCCTCCAGCATGGAGACAAGAGTTGGCTCCTCCACTTGGCAACAGACGCCGTGTTGATGATTTTTAAAGGAATAAGTGTTTGGTTCAAGGGCCCTAGAGAGCCTGATGACTGAAGCTCTGGTCATTTGAGGGGAAAAGGGAAGAGATTATTAAAAGCTGGGGTAGAGCATGGAATAAAAAACATTTCTTTTAATTAAAAAAAATTAAGTGAAAACAAGTTTTGAGCAATGACATACGGAGCCCCTTGTAATTAGATTAAAAACCCACAGATATAGATTGGTGTCTTTGATGCATCTGGGCTTCAGATCAATTATACACATGCTAATGTCCAATTTCCATAAGAATAAAGTAAATGACAATTATATGTTGGCTTAATTTTGTTTGACAAAGGCACTCTTCAGAGTTCTTACCAAGAAACTTGGTGCTGTTCCATCTGGGTTGCTCCTAGAAACTACAAAACTCCTTGAAGAAGAAATTAACTCATTTGGATAATAAACAGTCCCAATATCTTGTCCCTGGACTTGCAGGTCTCCACTGTCCTCAAATAGATAGAAAAGGAAGAATCTTTGGGGTTCCTCACCCTGTTTTCTGAGCTAAGGCTGAGGAATAGAATAATGCAGGATTTCGGAGCATGAGACTCTGGGTGGGTCTGCCCGTGCCTGGGAAGGAGTTTCAGGATGGGTGGGGGACAAAGCTTCTCATCATCTCCTGTTCCCACACTACCACTGGGCCTCCTTTAGGGAAAGGAACACAAGATCAGTGCCTTCTATAATGTTACCATTTAAAAATGATTTTGATCACCTTGTTAGAAAAGGTTAATTGAAACTTGAGTAAAAATAGTGTTCCAGGAAAGAAAATTAAAGTAATAAAGTTGATGTAATGAGAAAAATCTGAGGTTTTGTTGCTGTTGTTGGTGGTGATTCCATTTCTACTGATAACTAGCCGTGTGGCTTTGATTAGCCCACTGAATCTCTCTTGGTTGTGTCTCTTTTATACTATGAAGAACTTCAACCAAAATTTCTTTTTTCATAAGTGCAAAGAGTTTTATTTATTATTAATATTTTTGATGCTTCTATCTAACCCTACGTTCCATGACATTATGCTACGGAGATCGCACTTGGCTCCAATGCCCACACAGGCAACAGAGTTTGTCTCCACTGCTTAGCTCTTGGTAGAGGTGAAGGTGGCTGCCCACAGACTGGAACTAATGAGGAAAAGACTTGGGGGAAATGTCACCTCCATCTCCCTCCCTTCTTGTCATCGTCTCCAACAGATGAAATGACGAAGCGTGGACTGGACAAATCAGGGCCAGTGATTGGTTGTGCTGCGTTGTAACTGCAGCCATGTAGAGAATGTCAGTGAAACTTCCCTCACACTCTAAGAGTACAATTCTGAAAAGATCTCTAGAAATACTCAAAATTCTAGTCCAAAATGTGAAGTAGCTGCTGAGAAGAGAACTGAAGACTTCAGGAGTGGACATGGCTCTCCAAAACCCCATAGGTGCCATGCAAGCTCCTGTCCAGTTCTGAAAGGACTCTGCTAATTCAAAGCCAAATACGTCACCTTCCTTTTATCAAATGCAGATGCATGTGTTTCTACTTAAAATGAAAGGCAGCTTGAACACAAAGGAATCCTCCTGCTTTCCAGTGCTGTGGAAAGGGCCAGTAATCTCTGGAGGTGACATTAATTTCCTCTAATAATAATTTCTGGGCCATTGAGTCCATTGCTCTTTACCATGCACCCTCATCAGGTACACAGAGCCCTGTGTGATTTCCCCAGAAGGCTGGCTGCCCTATCAGGAAGATACACACTTTCAAAGGATTCATCTCACCTCTCTGGGGCTTTAAAAAATCTTCAGCTGATCTGCACTCTCACTGACGTTGACGCTGGCCAGCTTTGCTTCTGAGTGATAGAGAGGACACCGTCACACTGGGGAGAGGGAGGGTTCCAAGCATGCCAAGGGGGACCGAGCCGCCACAGCAAAATGGGAAAGCCAGGCAGTATTTCTTTCAATTTTCCTTCCTCTGGAAGGCATCATGCAAGAAAGGTTACCCCGATGTGCATAAAGTGGCCTTTTGACGAAAGACATCTAAACCACTCATCATAGGAATCCTAATTCAGTTGAACAATGTGACTTAATCTAACCATGGTAACTCAAGGGAGTTAGCCTTAGAACCTGCCTGATTAGTAAAAGCAGAACTAGTCACTGTTTTCAGCCAGTCACTATTCTAGGATGTTACACAACATGACGACTTACACTAAGTTGCTGTCCACAGCTTCACTGGCAAATTGTAAACCACCACTCCAAGATAGCGATGTCCTTTATGGATGTCAACCAAGGATCCCTCAAATACACACGCCCTCCCTCACAGTACTGGGTATTTATTTATTTCTTCATCTACTGTGCAAGAGTGTTTTGAGAAGATATTGCAAATCAATATTTCCTCTTTTTTTCTTAGGAATGGTGGTTCTTTTAGCTGGTGTGCCTTAGTAAAACGAATGGAAGTGTGTGAACTTAGTAATGGTCCAGAGCATAATCTGGCCAGTTAGAGAAGTAGAAGGGACAAAAGTGACCGTGGTTATGACCATTGGTAACAGAGGGGTGTCTGCAGACGGCTGAGAGTCTGTGTGCACGGAGCAAGTTGCCTCAGTTCTGAGCTTGTACTGTCCCTTCTTACCTCATGCTTTTGCCATGCATTAACTTACAGATGCGGAGACGTAAATATAACCACAGATAGTGTGTGCGTTTGTTCCTGGAATTCAGCCCCGGCGGCTCATGTGTGAACTAAGCTTTCTTTAAAGACCACAGAGAAGTAATGAACCACCTGACTCCAACTGCTTTTTCTTCCCTCTACACAATCGGTGAGATGGGTGAATAATTCTGTAGGTAATGTGGTGGTTTATAACTAGATGTCCCTCTAAAGCCTCCTGTGCTCATGGATGGGGCCTCTGGGAGGCAGCTGATTATGGGGGCTTCTTGCTGCCTTGCTGTTAGGAGGTGGGGCCTGGTTGGAAGAGGGGGTCGCTGTGGGTGTGACCCGGAAGGGATCATTGCCTTCCTGGTCCTCCCTTGACCCTCTGCTTCCTGTCTGCCATGCCTCGAGCAGTTCTCCTCCGCCAGGCCCTTCCCATCATGCCACTGCCAACACAAGGACTGAAACTTCTAAAATGTGAGCCAAAATACTCCTCCCCTCCTTTAAATTGTGGGTATCACGTACTGCATCCCAAGTACAAGAAAAGTAACTAAGACAATAAAAATCTACAGGATTGAGGTTTATATTTTCAAGGTTTAAAATGAAGTCCTCCACAGAACTTTCCAGTTTCAAAAGGGTACCCGTGAAATGTGATGCAAATATGTTAAGTAGACACAAATGTGGCAAGAAAGTGTGGTTTTATACTGTCCTATAATGGATCCTATCTTCCTCAGATGCCCTTAACCTTCTGGGGGTGACAAGGAAGCAAATCTGCCAGCTGATGATGTCTCCCCATTGCTGATTTCTCTCCCCCAGTGGGTAACAGCCCCCTCGGGTAGAGGCTCCATTATTACAGTGTCACCCATCACTGCGCCCGGGGGTTCACTGTGATCGCCACGCACAGTCAGCACATGTCCCTCCCTGGCTCCTTGAGGCCTTTGCAGTGAAAATGCCCGTGGTGTACTGTGTGGCTCTGCCTGCCTTATGTGCTGGGGCTGGTGGCAGTGTGTGGGTCCTGACTCTCCTTCCAGGCTGGTGAGACCCAGGAGGAGCTCTGCTGGCTGCATCCCATGGGGGCTGCCTGGGCACCCGTTTCCTCCCGTCCCTGCCCAGCTCACCTGGAGGACCGACCCATGGCACCGAGCCAGCTCCCCACTCAGCCCCAGCACCAGCGCCCCACAGTGAGCCAGGCTGCATTCCCTGCCCCGCCTCCGCCTCGGTCTCTCATGTGAACCTCACTCCGCACTGCACTCCAGACCCAGAGCCAGGCCCCGAGATCAGCATCTCACATCCTCCCTCCCTCTCTGCTCCTCTCAGGGAAAGCGTCTTAGCTCACTCTGGCCTCTCCTGTCTCCTTTCTGATGTCAGCAACATACAGCACAGGGCCTGGTGAAGGGCAACTTGCTGCAGCTAAAGCTGGAAGCTGATGGAGAGGAAGGGACCCTCTACAGAAAGCTCAGAAGAGTCAGGGTCCAAATTCCTGCCAGATGCTTATGTTTTTAGGGTAAAGCTGTTTCCCATCTTTAAGCATAATTGTTAATTTACTCTTTTTTCAGAAACTTTGGAAGCCCTGAAACTCATTCTCTGTTTCACGGTTCATTGATGGATGAGATGCTCTTTTATTCCATGGACTTTGGGATATGAAAGCCTCTCTCACTGTCTCACCTGATGACAACATAGCTGCTGTGAAACACTGCAGTGTTTACTCAAACGCCAGGACCCTCTCAGAGACATGGTGATGAGTTCTCCCCTACTGATGCCCTTCCTTTGCAGAGACACACTTAATTGTGTGGAATTACAGAAAATGTTTAATGTGAACATAATAATCGGTTACCATTGACACAGCGCCTTCTCTGGATCATCCAAAGCCCATCACAGGAAAACAACCCAGATAAGGGTCTCTGCTTTCCTGAAGTTTATGCTTTCTTCGCAAGAACGTGAATTCAGAATAATGGGATCTAGCCTGCTACCTGCCAAAGAGTATCTGTAAGATGTTGATCATTTTGCTAAGACTTGATTTGCTCACCTGTAAAACTGGAATGAAACCACCTGCCCTAGCTAACTTAAGATCTGGTGAAGCAATAATGAAAATGCTAAGTGAAATCACTTCGCCAAAGGTAGAGTTCTCCACGAAGATGAAGGAATAGTAACAGGAAGTTAAGGGATGTATGGAACCCAGATTTCATTATCATAGTGCTAACACAATTACTCCATACACCAGCTCTGAAAACATATTTTTTACTTCCATGGTGCATTTGCTTACTGTAGCATACTGGAGCTTTTTAGGTAGCCCTTTTTATGTATGATTAATTTTGCTCGAAACTAAAGGGAACCCCCTCTAAAGAGATATGAAACCAAACTGCAAATCAAACAATTAAATAATAAACTACTACATACTAAAAGTTTATAAAACATTTTGACTGCTTTACCTCATTTAGTTTTATCTAATTCTGACCTTAATGCATCTATCATGACTGGCCATTTTGTTACCATATAATAGATTCATGAGAAATACTGTAAAAGCAAAATACAAAAAGAAAATCTTCCCCATTCCCTTCAGATACTGTCCTGAAGGCAGCACTTCCGGTGAGCATGCATCCAGGAAGCTCCGCCCAGCATCACTGCTTTGTCCAAGCCCCACCATGGCCACTCTTCTTTCACCAAAACCCTCAGAGGGGCAGCTTTCCCTGGGCTGCAGGGGGCCTCTGAGGATGCACCAGCGATGCAACAGGCCCTTCCTCGGCTGGGCTTCTGGGGACACTGGGGTCCAGGGATGTGACCCACTCCTGCAAACCAAGTGGGAAGGGGGAGTGCTCTGAAAGCTTGACTGACCTAACGGGGATGGGTGTAAAGGAAAACAAAAATCATTATGGATATATTCTTAGTTGTGTCCTTAAAAGCAACCCAGATGCATAATAATTGCTGCTCTGACACACTGCCTCCAGTTTATTTTGCTTCCATATGATAAGCGTTTCAACTACGCCCTGGAAATGTTTTTGGTGAAAATTGAAGAAATGTGTGTGTCTGTGTTTTTTAATCTCAGAATTGCTTTCATTCTATATTAAATCTATAATCTTAAAATAAAATGGCAATGTTTTTTATACTATATAACCAATAACTCTAAAAATGTTTTCTTAAGTTCTGTATGATAGACCGGGGCCATAAGAGTAGAAAATGACAACATATTTTTGCAACTCTACCACACCCCACAGAGTACCTACATATGATGATATATTTTTTAAAATAACTTGTTAAAGGGAATACAATTTGTTGAAAATGACTTTAAATACTTTCAAAAACCAGCAGCTTAATTTTGAAGTTCATTTATAAGAATCAACATAAGGAAGATTATTTTGAGGAGCAGAAATCTTTTGAAAGTGCATTAGGTTATTTAAAATGCCATAAGTCTATAAAAGGCTGGCTTTCTAAGGCGTGATGTTAGGATTGCAAATAAGTGTAAATTAGAAATCAAGCTGCAAAGTATCAGGTTCATCTATCAACAGAAAAAGGAGAACTGGGAAGCGGGACGGATTGGCAGCCATGCATGCAGCTTTGCGCCAAGGCTGCAGTGTGCAGAGGGATCTGCAAAACCCCTCGTGGGGCCTCATGGAGTGGGGAGCAAAAACTCGGCCTGGTTAGGTTGCTGTGCACAGGGCAGGGCTGCTTGGGTGGAATCCAGAAGGAAAGGGGTGGACTATTCAGTTGTCCTGAGGAACCTTCCACAATGTCCAGTGCTGATAAATTAATTGCTATGCTGGAAATCTGAAAAACTTCATGCCCTAATAAATATGCTCTAGGTTATTAAATCAATGTTGAGTTTAATGGGATTCTCATATTTTCCAATGATCATTTCTTGATAATAATATCTCCCTTCAAAATGCACCATGTTGCCTACATCCCAGCTGCTGCTCTCACCCATGTCACTTAACCCCTCTCATCTGTCCCATTTGTAAGATAAACAAAGGGTCACCTTCCCTGGTGTGGGACTTACTCCATTATCCAGCCATAGTCCAACTGTCCCTCTCTGGGTAGCTCATAAGGCTGTGCCCTTCTGCTGAAATCAGGCAATGGTCGCTGCTTCATGAGTTTATCGCATCACTTGTGAGAATGTGGCATGTTTCAGAGGGAAACCAGGAAGAACCACTGTGTGATTTGCTTGTTCTCTTTCTTCTGTCACTGCCCAGTGATGCTCTATGTAGTGGACCCCCATCAGCCTGCCCCCCTGAAATGACAGGAAGTGGAGGACACCCCCTGCTGGAGTCCATGTCAAA